AGGTCCTGAATCTAATCCTAGTCGAGTCAGATTGTGGTTTATGACGACTTTTCACTCGACCGTCGGGTTTCTGGATGTAAACGATGTAAACAAGTCAGTAAGATGTTGTGTTTGATTGGTTTTCTGTCCGTTAGCAGGATGACAGAGAAGCTAGCAGACTGGTTTTCATGAATCTGAATGAATGGATGGAGGACGAGTGAAGGAAGAACCGGTTCAGTGTCTGAACATCGACCGCTGCAGCGCCACCAACAGGTCAAAGCTGGAGGTGAGTTTATACAGGCAGCATCTACAGCTGATCATCTTTCATTATCGGATGCTCTGGATGGAGCGTTTCTATGTTAAAGGTTGAATGTTGGACGGACCCAGCGTGAGGAAGGACTTCTCCAGGTCGCCCTTCACCTCCTTCCTGATGCTCTCCTGGATGTCGTAGGGGCTGTAGCTCTTGTAGCGCTCAAACACTGCAACACAACAACAAGTTTATCACAAGAACAGACGTGTTCAATGTGAAGGCCGATGGTGAAGGAGCTCAGATGTTCAACGTGTTTGATGCAAACTGAACATAGAAACTGTCTCCAGATGTAAACTGGTTGATGTCGTCGGTAAGCGGTTGGTGCTGAACATCATCCTGTCTGTCGATGTTTGATCCATACGTGAGCTTCTATCTGCTCAGCGGTCAGGTGTAGCTCACCTTTCTGCAGGTGGGGGACGCTCCTCTGGGACATGATGCTGATCCATGAGGCCACGTCGGTTCCCTTCCTCTTCACGCCGGCTTCATACAGCAGCTGAAGAGAAAACATCTCAGCTCAGAGGGTTTACAGATTCAATCCTGATCAACCAACCAGAAACCAGGCGTCTCAGGTTCAGTCCTAATGAAATTAAACACTGAGGCCAGAAAACTAGAACCTGGAACCAGAACCAGCAGCGTGTAACACCCGTACACACTGGACTGAAAGGTGAACCAACGCTGATGTCGAATAAAAAACATGCTGGACGTGAACCTGAAGTAATGTTTGTGTGAAAAAAAAGAAGTGTTTGTAGTGAACACGAACATGAACAGATGTTGGATGTGAGAAAACATCAGGTTTAAACGGGACATAAACGTTCTGAAGTTCCCGCCCAGACTTTCCAGAACTCGTCTTCTGTGGATCTGAGACTCACTCTGGCGTCTTCGTCGATCTTCTGATAGTCGACCACGTTGGACGGGTCGTCTCTTCTCGTCTGTGGATGAGAAACGTTCACATCAGAGTTAGAAATGAAAGACCGACGTTCTTCTGCTGAAGTTAAAACCTGAAGATGTTTAATTCTGCGACACGTCCGTCTGTTCGGTGAGAAAACGACGTTTTTCAGCTTATAGGAAATAAAAACTGATCAAAGATGATAACATAACTTCTAACACGCTCTCATCAAGTCACAAAACGTTTCCTGACTTGTTCATTTTTGAATTAGAGATGAATGTGTGTAATGAGATGAATGCAGCAGTGTGTGGGTGTTGGGGGTTTTTCAGAATAAAAGCCCGAGGCCGACCTGAACCAGAGCCAGCAGCAGCTTAGCGAAGTTTCCCGACGTGTCTCCGGCGACGTCTTTGTCCAGCTCCTTCTTAAACACTGACGAGACACAAACAAGCAGCAGAACTTTAACTGAGTT